AAGATACATTTTCACAAAGTTGCATCGTTTGAGGTAAAGTCTCTACATTTTCATTATATTTAAAAAGTTTTGTACTCTTAAACATTTGCATATAGAACCTGTATGGGTGCAATTAATAATTTAAATTAATTAATTAAATTACACAAAACAGTAGCATTCCGATGATCCTGCCCAGGGACCCAAACTTTCCCTGAGTCATTTGGCCACGACCCCTATTTGTCCGATGAAATATTTTCAATAAAACTGGACAAGTAGAGGACAGAAAATGAAGCGGCAGGAAAGAAAATAAAACACTATATCTAATTAATTAAATAAAGATGATAAAGCAAGTAGTGAGGAGAGAAAATAAAATAAAATGGCCCCTTCATTCTGTACAGCAACCTATTTCATATGGCAACTTAGGTTGTATACATATGGTATTCAGGATCGTGGTCATAGCTTCAAAAAAAAAAAAAAATAGACCTTCTCCTGGATCCATGTTCGGGTTTAGATTTTGCTCAGACTTGGCCCACATAGCACCTTATTGTATTTTACTGCAGTATGACAACTGATTTGATATGATTTCCGTGAAAGATGATTTTAGACTAGACTGATTAAATTAGCAGGATTTGTTAAAAGACTACTTTAAAACTCAAGAGTTCTTTCTTCTATCCGTCTGTGCGTACAACTCCCCATCAATCCGAGGCCATTTTTCCACCATCAAAACTGCCGTCAGGTTTTTTTTCCGGAATGTTTAAGCCTCTTAAAAAGCTGGTTGAGGGGATGCAGAAAACCACAAGGGGGCAGTAATCCAACAGAAGTCAATGTCAAAACTACTATGAAAAAAGAAGAAGAGAAAAGTTTTCATTTGTTGTGAAGCTCGAGCGTCAAAGAAAAAGACATAGTTTTGCTGTGGATTCTCAGTGAAGCATGCACACAATGACAAATTATTAAAAAAAAAACAAAAAAAAAAAACCTCAAATTTCCCAAAGTTTGGTCCACCTTTTCTGCCAGATTGTGGATTTAGAGAGAGGAGGAGCTCTGGCTGAAGTGTCTCAGCAGCAGCTGGTCATACTCCGCCTCAGACGCCGGTGATGAGCTTCCGTCGGAGCTCAGGGAGGAGTCCCTAAATGGAGAAGGAGGCGTCAGTGCCAAGAGCTCCTCCAGGTTCTTGGCTCGTCTTCCGCTCACACAATTCACACCCAGGTGCTCGTAAATCCTTTCTCCTGCCCTGTTCTCCCCAAAGTTGGCAACCTCAGCATGGGTGGTGACTGTGGAGGAGGTTTGTCCCCTCCTAGTGGTCAGGAGCTGAGGAGCATCTGCAGCAGCGGAGGAGGAGCCGATGGTGGTTTCTCCTGGCTGTATCATAGTGTTGAGGTCATTGATGTTGGTCGTGAAGCGGCTCACCACGCAACTGATCTGGTCCAGGATGGTGGTGCCCTGAGCTGGACCGCCGATGTCACCCACACCCACAGGTAAGACGCTGATGTCCACAACTTCCACCATGTCTTGGATGTTGTCTCCACCTCTTCTTCTGACCACAGCAGTATGATCAGCAACGTAGGCGGGTAAAGCTTGAGGTTCTGCTCCATCTTCTCGTCCCTTCATCGCCTGTTGGCCGATGGAGAGGAGCAGAGACTGAGAGGAGGAGCAGGTGAAGGGAGGAGATGCCTGTGGTTCTTCAAACATCTCAGTGACGGCAGCGTCTCCGGGAACATCTCCTTCTTTAGAGAAGGGTTTGATGATGGCAGTCTGGTTGGATTCCACTGAGCCTTTCTTCTTCACATGAAAGGACATCCTCTTCCACAGGTTGGGTCTGTAGCTGCTCTCGTTCTGGGTCCAAGTCATTGATTTACCATTGGAACTATCAGTAACCATGGAAACAAACAGAACAAAAACAGCTCTTAAATGCTATGGTTTATCACCTGACTTATAATAATAATAATTACTATTATTGTTGTTGTTACACTGTGTAAAAATGCAGTGTGTATTTGTATACACAATTTAAAAAAATCATATGTGACCCTTATGTGTTTTTAAGTCAGTAAAATTGCCTTTTAAATATTTAAATATAAAATTTTAAAATATTAAATATATAATCAACAATCAAATTTTTTAGCGTTTCTAACCCAATCATTTCTTACACTTGAACCAAACAGGAATGAAGGAGTAGATGCTCAAATAATAATTTTAAAAGAGCGTTCTTCATGCTCTACTTCTCAGTTAAACATTTCTTCCTTCCTGCTAATTCTATATTTTCCATCCCATATAATTTTACATGTCTTTCTATCTCTATTCATTTTCCCTGGAAAGAGAATTCCTTGAAGACCATTGGTTCTCCTGGGGGACTATTTAACCCAGATGATTTAACACACTTCCCTGCTTCGCATCAAGCCTGATGGATCCAGCAGAGTTTTCGTGTTTCGACATGAAGCAATCACAAACACAGAAATATAAATAATTGAGAATAATTAGTTGTCAACTGCAATTGTATTAATTTGATGCTAAATGTTTCAGCTTTCTCTTTAATAAGTGTAACAGGTGAACTATCTGAGGGTGCAAATCATTCTCTTTTGTGAAATGGAGGTTAAAGGTTAAATGGAGTTGAACAGCTGAGTGTGCCCACTGATCCACAGCCACAGAGATAATGAGGGTTCTTCACTGTAGTCCGTAGCCACCGTACCTGATGTCTTCCTGTGTGGAGCCTCGGCGTCGAAACAAATTGGCCATGCTGCTGGACGGCTTGGCAGTTTTGGCAGCTTTCTTGGCATCACCTACATGCATCCGTACCACGGTGGACGTTGTGAAAGCACTGCGGACATTTTTCTCAGGCTTGGCCAGCATGATGTAGACCTAGCCGGGAAAACAACCAAAAAAAAAAAAAATGGGAGAGAATATAGATGGAGAAATCTAACTGGACGAGCCAATTCATCTGTTTCTTAATCCAAACTCTGTTCGTTCTAGAACTCGTTTTACATTTCCTACCTTTGGCACAAACATGCAGCAGAGAGCGACTGTGGCACTGAGGCTGACACTGAAGCACATGGTGATGATCTTGTAGTTGGAACCAAAGTAAATTGGGACAAAGGCCAACCAGATGATGCAGGTGGTATACATGGTGAAGGCAATGTACTTCGCTTCGTTAAAATTGGCAGGAACATTACGGGTCTGAGGGGAGAACACGAAGCAGGAACAGGAAGGGGAAAAAAAAAAGAAGAAGGAAAGTTTAAATATTTAAATATCACACACAGCCAAAAAGCTATTAACCTTGTGTTTGACTGGCTGACTTTATGCTGATTTACCTTGAAGGCGTAGAAGGTGCAGCTGAGGATGAGCAGGCCATTGTAGCCCAGAGGGGCGACTACACCCAGGGTGGTGAGATTACAGATTAAATGGACCTCACGGATACTGGGGTAGTCATAGATCACCTGAAGAAGATGATGAAGAAGAGAGGAAGGGTAAAGTTAGTTTGGTAAAGACCTACAGTGGTGCAATATATGTACAGTATGTCCATGGATATATACTGTATATATATTACAAATGTACATATATGTATACACATACATATACAAATATATTTATATATATATATATATACATATATATATATATACAAAAAGACATAACATTTCATAAAGAACAATCTTTGGTCTTCAATATTACTTCTGATCCAAATATATGGTAGAATGTATAAGGAACACACACCTGTGGTGGCTCTATGATAAGCAGTGCCACAATTATCCCCAGCTGAAGCAGAATGAGTAGGAAGGCGATGACCAACTGTGCGCAGGCGGACATGAAGCGAGGTTTCTTGGTGCAGATCTTCTTCTTGCTGCCTGCCAGGATCCGGGCTATACGATTGGTCTGGATCACAAATAGATCAAACATGTACCCAGGTTTCACATACACTGTTGTCAATAAGACAGGGGGTTTGCATTGATTTGTGGAGTACAGGTGTTATTTTCTTGGATTCAAGATCGAAACAGTAACCTCAGCCCACACACACTGTCTTTTGTCAGAAAAAAACACATCATTTCATATATATTATAGTTAACACATTTGGTTCCCGTACTTCTTCTCCAGTGCTTACAAATAGGACTATGGTCGAGACCCCCACTCCACCCCCACCCACACTCACACACTCCACCCCTAGGGCCCCTAATCTGATGCACATTCACAGCTATTGCTTCAAAGCCTCACTCTTGTTCTCATTAAACTAAGGTAATAAAATTACAAATCAGTGCAATTTTCCCACTTTGGCACAAATTTTGTGCCCCCCATTTTGAGAACCACCACCTAAGCCCCCAACTATAGGCTTAACCTATGCTGAGTCTTAATCCTTACTTCAAACCTAGTCAGACCATCAATCTAATCCTAACTCCAAGATAAATCTTGAACCTCAAAATCCCTCCTTTACTCAGAGGGAACCTGCAAATTGTCCCCACAAGGACAGTGTCCCCAAAACAACAGTATTTTTCCACAAAAAAAAAGTCCTGCCCACAAGTATAGCAATATCAGGTTTACACTCACATGAACATACACCCACACTCTCTTCTACATCGTTCAATATCTGGCAGTTATTATTTTTTTATTATTCCTATCCTTACATGCACTTTTGTACAAGTGACTGTTGACGAAAACCGCCACTAGATGGCATAATAGAGAACCTAGCAGAGTCGTCCATCCTTTTTTACCATTATATCTAAATGATTTATTAGTTCAAATATTGTGTTTGGACTTAGAGTCTTTCTGAGTGACAGTTGGTGTCAGACTTTTTTCCTGATCCTTAAATTAAAAGCAATTGCAGGGGTTTTAAAAAACTAATGGAAATCCAAAATAAATCTCCTCGTTTAAGTAAAACTATGTTACAATTTCCTAAAACTAAAATTTTCATGAGATCATTTTAAAAGTCAGTGTCCAATACGTTTATTGTGAGTTTCACAAATTGGTTAATATGTAAATTTTGACCAAACTTTTGCCTTTCAAGGTGGTGAAGTCATTTTAATGAATCACTCGTGACTCATGTGTGGTGATCCTGCAAATTATATCAGTTTGAACATCAACGTGTCCTCTAGGCTTCATCGCTCTCTCCTCTGCCAAAGACACTAAAATATAAATTATACAGTGCAGTGTTTTGACCTCCACCTCCTCCTCCTGTAAGTGTGTGATGACAAACACAAATTATTGTCCAAATGCCTCTGCCAGAGGACATTTGGACTTGACTGTGGATGCATCTTCGACCTGGGTTATTTGCAAAGCTGTATTTTTCTACGTAGTAAATTGGGGTATCCAGTCCTGTGGTTTGGACTTTGTAGCCCCCTCTTCAGACCATTTTCGTCTAAAGCAAGTACCATTTTTAACGTCCAAATTTGCAAAGCTGTTTGTATTTTTCTACGTAGTAAATTGGGGTTGCAGTAATCTTTACTGGCATTTTGTTGGAGGTGTACAGCGAATCAAGCAACAGTACTGTATCTGTGGCTGTAGTGGTGGTCCAATTTTTCAGTGGTATACACCAGTACAAACCCACCACAGCCAACAGGACAGGACGTTCAATACCTTAGTGACCAGAGCTGAGTAGCTCATGGCTGGAGACAAACCGATTCCCAGCCGCTGCAGGTAGCAGTAGATGAGATGTGGTTTGGCGATGAGGCTGAAGGTACACAGGTAGCCCAGACATATTCCTGCCAGGATGATGTAGCAGAGCTCACGGCTGGACGACTTGACCACAGGTGTGTCCCAGAACCTACGGAACAATCAGATTATAATTAGAAAAACAGATATTTTTACTCACTGTTTCTTTGTATATTAAAGAAAAAAAATGTAAACACATTTGACATTTAACATTTGCCCAATTTCAAACTCAAAATAATGTCATTACTTGATGAAGACAGAAGTAACAAAGAGTGTAGCCAGGAGGCCCAGACAGGAAAAGACCACTGCAGCGATTGGTTCTGGATCTCCCCAACGCACATACTGCACCGGGATTGGTTCACAACCTGAGAAGAAAAACTTAATAAAAAATATATTCTACTGCTGTGCAACATCTAAATAACACCTGCAGTTCTAGTGCAGGGCATACAGTACTAGGTTCTAGGTAAGAACATAACGCCTACCGGTGAGGTCATCCGTAGGCCAGAAGCCGAGAACACAGGCCCGACAGGTGTATTCATCAAACACATACTCATTGTCCTTACAGGGAGTGCAGGTCCAACAGCAGCTCACCTCACCTTTACGGATCACCTGGACACAAACACATCAAAAAGTAAGAAATGGGGGTGTTTAAGAAAAGCTGTTTCATTCCTAATGATTCTGAGACGACGATGGCACTTAGAAAAGTCCAGATGGAAGATGATTAAAGCACAAACGATAAGTCTTTGGATCCACGGGGAATGTTATTAGCATCTAATCCTCAGTTTATTTGGAAGCCTTCTTAATTAAAAGTTTCATCTTCCATAGGCTAAAATGTAGCCCTGAACTATTCCAGAGCCCCACTAAGGATCAGTCATGACAATTATTCTTTGAGGCTGTAAAACTGTTTTACAGCCTACAACTGTATGACTGTATGATGACACTGTTGAACTTTGAGTGTTGTAGTTGGTGTTACCTTGATCTGAGCCTTCTGGCAGGGCTCTGAGCAGAAGGATCTGATGATGTCACTGTCGTCACTCCAGATTTCCTCATCATTCATCTTCAGACCACCCTGATCCCAACTTCCCACTGGGATGTACGAGTACACGTCTCCGCCAGTCTGCTTGAAGTTCATGATTTCATACCTGAAGCGTGTAAACACAGCCATGAACGAGTATCTGCACAAATTTAACATTTCCTCATTGGACAGGAGGGTTACCTGCCAGGTGAGTCCCCATTCTGGTCAAAGTGAATGGTCTCCCCCGATACGCCGATGAAGTTGGTTTTCATCAGGAAGTCCAGCAGCTTGCGTCCGTCTATGGGACGCATGTTTTCACACAAACCCTGAGGAGAAGCGACCAGAGTTGAAACCTTCATCGTCCAGTTTGAAATAACAG